AAAAAAAAAAAAAAAAAGAATACTAAGACACCAATGAATGATTTAAGAGAAAATCTGGTCAGATTTGCATTTCAAAAAGATCATTATGGCTCCTGTGTGGAGAACTAATGGATAAAGGTCAGAGTGAATAATCATTATTGCAATGGTCCTGGCAAGAGATTATGGCAGATTGGAAAAGACTGTGCTTCTGTAGATGGTGGGGAAAGGATGGATTTGGAGGGTATTTGGGAAATGAGATTGATAGGATTCGGTAATAATTGGCTATAGAGGTACGAAGGATCAGAAGAAATCAAGAATAATGTGTAGTTTTCAAATTTTCACAAGTGGATGGTAGGATCCTTAACTCAAATGGGGAACACTGGAAAAGAATCAGGTTCATTAGAGATAACCATGCATTTGGTTTTAGGCATGTTGAGCTCGAGGTGCTTTTGAGAATTCCAAAAAGAAATATAATGGAAATAAATATATGAAAGCTGGAAAGATAAAGTTGGATGGCGCTATACATTTAAAAATCATAGGTGGTAGTGAAACCATGGGTATGGATGAGATCATATTCAACTACACAGTAAAAAAAAGGACATAGATTTAAGAATGACCCTACTCTTTGTGGGCTGGACAAAGGAGGATGAGGTCAAAAAAAGGACAAAAAAGGAATGTCTTTTTTAAATCGTACTCATAAGAAGTTCACGTTTAAAAATAAAATCTGGTTTAAACCGGTAGCATTGAATGTAGCAAGGCTACATTAGACTAACTCATCAAAACTATAAATCTGTTGAAGGACAGGTCATTTTCAGAAACTATCTGGTAAATTCACAGTACTTGTCTCTTTGCAACTTCAAAATACATCAATATACAAATATTATCCTTCCCAAAATATATACGATGTGGCTTACTGCAATTTTCCTGAAAATATCTCATCTTTCTCACTTCTGGGACTCACCACATGCTATTCTTTTGGCCCTCTTTGCCTGGTATAAAGATTTTCCTGACTTTCCAAGATCAAGCTAAGTTATCTTCTTTCTAGCCATCCTAGATAGCCAGATATGACATCATACTATAATTGTGTTTAGCCATTAGATTCTGTAACTAGGTAGAGGCTGTGTCTTTTTCACTGTTGTATACTCAGAACCTAACAAGGCTATATTTTTAGAATCACATCTATTCTGCAACGTTTAGAATTAAAATCTAATTTGGTTCTCAGTCCATTAACTGCCTTTCACATCTTGACTTTTCTCATAAGGAATGACTTTTTAAAAACGGTAACTTAAAAACAAATGACTGAATCCTTTAAATATACTAAATTTTGGATATTTTTATAGGTCTTCTTTCATAGAGTATCCTTAAACCCTGCAAACATTGATTTCTAGGAATATTGGGGATTCTTTTCCCCTTAGTCTCATACAAAATGGATTTGAAAACTCGCTTTCAAAGCCCTGCCTGGGATTTCATTCGGGCGCATAAAGCACCGAACTCGCCTACACGATGGCAAACAAAAGTGCAACTGCACAGGGATACCTAATCCCTCTGCGTGAGTCCGCAGCAAGGTGCACTTGTTTTCACAGCATCTCTGTTGCCCGGCCTTCTGCCGCTCCCTCCGACCCTCGGGACTGCGACCATTTCCCGCGCCAAACGCGCCCTCGGCCTTGGGAACCTGGACTACTCCTTCCCACGCAGATTATTGGACAAAGTCCCTTGGCTACGAGGATAGCCCTAGATGGCGTCGTCTCCAAAATCCCTGAGGAAATGAAGGAAAAATCCTGTCCAAGGAAAAGTGGCAGGCAACTCTACAGTGCTCACCCAGTCGACGCTCTCAACCTCCGTTCGCGCAAACCGTTGGCTTGAAGGCCGCTACGGACAACGTCGCAGTGGCTCCTGGGGACTGTAGTTTCTATCGCCCACAGAATGCGTCGGCCGCATCAAAACTACATTCCCCAGAAGTCAATGCGAGGTGTCTCCTCAAACCGCGGGTTTGGCGTCGCTATTTTCAGGCTAATCTTAAATTTGGATTCAATTTCTTCCAGGTGTGTGTCTACGCCCTCTTTCTTTTCCGTACTTGCCTTGTCTGTAATTGTTTCAGTGTACTTCAACGCCTCCTTACTTTTCTTTCCCCTACTCCAGTCCAGAGAATCCAAACGTCAGGGCACGGAAAACGCCCCCGACGCAAAATGCCCCTTAAGCGCCTGCGCCCGGCTCGCCATCACGCATGCGTAGCAGCCGGCAGCGGTGGGAGGCCGCGCGCGGACTTAGGGTCTGGAGGTAGCCAGCGGGAGGGCGGGGCTTTTTCCAATGGCTTTGCCTCTGCGGGTCGCGTCTGCTTGGGCGGGGAAGAGGGCGCTGGGGCAGGGGCGGCTCCTGGTTTATGTCGGGCGGAGAAAGGGGAGGGGCTGGTGGGGTGAGGACCCCATCTCCCCTCCCTGCTCCCGCCCTCTGGGCCGAGCCCCACCGATGGGGCTGGGCGAAGGGGCGGGCTCTGCGTCTCAGGCCTCGCTGCTCCGCCAGCTTCGCGGCGCAGCCCGGCATTTAGGGATTGCGGGCCAGCCCTTTGCCTTGAGGCTTAGTGGGAGGTGGGCGAAGACGCAGGAATAGGAAAAGAAGTGGCGTCCGCCTGGGAGTCCAGAATCGTCGGGGCCGGAGACGCTTTCCTCCAACTCTGTAGCCGAGACAGCGGCTGCCGGAGGCTGTCATCCCCAAGGAACGCCTGGGTTTCCAGCCGCGGCGGCCAGTGAGCAAGCGTTTGGCGAGATTTCCCCACTAGCTCTTGGCCGGCCGCTGAGGCGAAGGGAGGAGCTGCGGAGGGCGGGGATTAGTGCCGGAGGAGGGGCGGGGTGGGAATGCTCTTGAGAACCCGGTGGCCGCCCAGACCAAAAAAACCCGAATGGCTGGAGCGCGTTCAACTGTTACCAGCCTTTTTGGGCAGAGCACGGATTTGACAGCTCCACAACGTGAGGATATCCGCTGACCCCGCGAGACAGAGGAGAGCACTTCCCTGAGACTGCCTGTCCAGCAAAGCCAGCGCTGTAGGGTTTCAACTTTCGAACTTTTTTCAGTCTCTGACAAGGCTTGCCCCTTCATGTAGGAGAGGGTAAGTTCTGTCTTGTAGATCGCTTGAAAGCCATCAATATAAAAGACACTTCTTGTTCCAAATGTCAGCCAGACATCTGTGTTTTCATGACGATTCGGTTTCTCTGATCTTATTCTTACATTCCTCGTTTTAAAAATACGAAGTGCTTTTGGGGACATGCTGAAGGGTAACTGAAGACTGCAAAGAAAAATCTCCAGTTGTCATGGCTGAAGGAGAGAATGAAGTGAGGTGGGATGGACTGTGCAGTAGAGATTCAACTACTAGAGAGACAGCACTGGAAAACATTAGGCAAACCATTTTAAGAAGAACCGAGTATCTTCGTTCGGTGAAAGAGACACCTTTTCGTCCATCAGACGGGCTTTCAAATGCTGTTGCTTTGGATGGGTTGAATAAGCTTCTTGCTCATCTGCTTATGCTTTCTAAGAGATGTCCCTTTAAAGATGTAAGAGAGAAAAGTGAGTTTATTTTGAAGAGCGTCCAGGTAAGAAAACATTGTAATTACAACTGTCCATCTAGTAAAGCGCAGTTTTGCTTGCAGTTGTATTTGCTTCTAAGAGGTGGTTAAGTGAACTCATTACGAATTCATTCTACATCTTATTGAGTGGCTTGTAAAACATTGAATTTGGGACCAAAACTGAATAAGGTGAATTAAAGTGAAAGCAATTTTCAAATATAAGTAAATAAGCATTGTCTTTCTAGAGAGTTTTGGAAGCTGCATTCCTCCTGGAAAAATAAGAGAAAGTTATACTTAATGGCAAGTAAAGACTTGCTTTTTCATTTTTACATGTTGTTAGGAAGTATAGCCAGTGTACTTTTCACATCAGTACAAACAATATTGTGTGGAAAGTTTCTCATTTAAAAGCCTCTAAAATGATAAATGTTTCTTTGCTTGTTCAAGATAAATGGTGAAACAATTTTTCTCTTGTTCTTAAAATCAAAACAAAAAAATCAGGGTCTGTTCTCTAAAGGCAACCTTTCTTTTAAAAAAAATGAATTATATAAAATAATAAGTCTATATTATAAAGAAGCTAGCTTCTTTATAGTTGAAAGTTGAACCCAGGTTAAGTGAATGATAGAAACACTCCTGTGGTAAATTAGTTAGTTTTCTCTGTGTTTTCCTCAATTGTTTTCTTCACATATATACCTACTTAAGTTTTGAGTGCAACCAATTAAGAATGTTAATTTTCCTCCTCTTCTATACATAATCAAACTCTCCTGTTTTATTGGAAGATTTATTAGGAAGGGTTTGGTTTGGTTTGAGAAAGGTTTTTTATATACTAAGAATGGTCAGTGACACTATGTCTAAGTTACTGAATCGAAGTCATTTATGAGAAGTTCTTAATTTACTTGGGTATATATGTCAGCTAAGATTAATAGTTTTTCTATTTTGGTTAGTTTGAAGCAATAGAAAAATAATCATGTCCATAAAATGAAGACTCTGTTTAAAATCTTGGGATATTTCTTCTCACAAACAGTTTGGGAACAATCATTACAATTCATTTATCCAGAGTTATCAGAGAGGAATTAATTTTCTAGATTCCTGATGTTTACCCTTTTAAGCATCCAAAGTTATTTCTCTATTTCTTAGACTGTAGCATCTACAACAATCATTTTTCATAATAGAGTCATCATTATGCACATCAAGTACTGTTGTATAGGTGAGGGTAGAGTATATAGGACTATAGGATCCACGTTTTTTGAATCTGTGTTCAATTTTTAATAGTTTTTTTGTTCCCTCCCTTACTATCAGTACACTTTGTTCTCTTCCTGAATCTTTAATTTTGCTGCTTATTTATATCCAAATGGGAAACCAGATAACCAATTTGGCTAAGAATTATATTAAAAACAAAAGTAATTAAGCTCTGGGGAGTGCAGGGTCAAAGGACTGTGGTATATTGGTAAGTAAATGGGTACTGGAGCCAGACCTGAGCTCAAATTCTCCTCCTTTATTAATGTACTGCATAACCTTGGACAAGTTAAGTTACTTGATCTCTCTTAGCTTGGATTTCCAACATCTATAAAATGGGAATAATAACATAGAGCTGTTGTGAGAATAAATGAGATGTAAAGTGCCCCAGTACATAATGGATGCTCCTCTCCTTTATCGTAAGTGAAAGACACGGACTACATGATACATATTTCAGGATTCATTCCTCCTGCAAAAAGATTCAAGAATCGCCTCCACAGTGAAGGTTTTCCATAAATTTATACTTTTCATCTCTGCATCTACTGCACTTAATTCCTGCTACTATTATAACAGGCACTTTACTTATATTGTGCTATAATCACATGTTTATGTGACTGTCTCCTCGGAGGGCTGTAAGTTCTCAAGAGTATTGACTGGGACCTGGAAGCTACTAAATAAATATCCAGTGTCTGAACAAATTTATATTTGGCTTCTTTTTATTTTTTATCAGCCTGAATAAAGTCACCAGATTAGGGAGTTTCCATCCCCACATCCTTAATTCATGCCTTCATTCAGCGATTATTGAATCCATGGTGAATGCCATTCTAAGAACTAAGAACCAGTGGTAAACAACTTTGACATTCTACTGGAGAGAGACCATAAACAATAAACAAATAATATAATTTTAGATAGTAAGGGAAGACTTCCCTGAAGAGATGACATTTAAGCAGAGATTTGGTAAATGAATAAATATAATCCAGGCAAAAATGAAATTTGTGAGGAGGACATTCCACGCATAGGGAACAGTTGTGTGAATACCTCATGGCAAGAGAGAGCAGATGAGGTCTAGGACCGGAAAGTAATACAATGTGATTGGAGCATATGTTTGAAGGGAGAGTGAAAGCTTAAGCACATCCTCTGTAGTCAGACCTAGCTCTAATACTTTATTAGCTCTACAGTGTTGAATACATTTCTCCTTGATTCAGTTTCTGCTCACAATGAGAATAAAATGAAATAATGGTTGCAAAACATAGCACAGTGCCTAGCACATAAGACATGCTCAGCAATATTAGGAATTCTTACTGTTCTTAAGCAGGAGTTGGATAACAGGATCTTGAAGGCCAAGTTAAGAGTTGTGGACTTGGGGCGCCTGGGTGGCTCAGTCGGTTGAGCGTCTGACTTCAGGTCACGATCTTGTGGTCCTTGAGTTCGAGCCCCGTGTCAGGCTCTGGGCTGATGGCCCAGAGCCTGGAGCCTGCTTCCGATTCTGTGTCTCCCTCTCTCTCTGCCCCTCCCCCGTTCATGCTCTGTCTCTCTCTGTCTCAAAGATAAATAAATGTTAAAAAAAAATAAAGAGTTGTGCACTTTATCCTAGGAACAATGGGAAGCCACTGAGGAGTTTTGAGCAAGACTGTGACATGATCCACAGTGTATTAGGATTACTTTGGAAGCAATGCAGAGAATGAATTTCAGGGGTGAAGAGTGGATATGCAGCATCAGGAGATAATTCCACCAGTCCAAAGCAAAATTATGGTTGGATTAGGGTGTAGTGGGAAAAGTGGGAAACAGTGAATGGGCTTGGGAGATAGCTAAGAGTTAGAAACAGGAGATAGTATTGAATTGGATACAGGAGATGAAGAAAGTAACAAAGGATGCTCTCAAGTTTCTGGCTTGAACTACTTGATTACTAGTTCAGTCATTTCCTGAGACAGAAGAGTGGTAAAGGGTCAGTTTAGGAGGAGCGGTGAGTTTTGTTTTAGACATGTTGAGATTAAGTTACCTGTGATGCACCTGATTAGAAATAGCTCCCGAAGGGATTTCTGCCCCTGCTACTACCATTGTAGTTCTGCTATTGTTATCCGTCACTTCTCCAGACTTAACCCATCCTCCACCTTTATATCCATGCTCCACATAACTGCAGAGTCATTTATCTAAAATGAAATCTGATCATGTTACTCTCCTGTCTAAAATCCTTGAGGATAGAATTTAAACTGCTTGAGAATGTCACATAATGTCCAGCATCATCTGGCTTCCACATACTGCTCCAGCCTCCCATGAGAACCCAAATAATTAAATGTGGTACTCCATAATGCTTTCTGTTATTCATTGGTAGATCAGCAAAAGCTGAACTGAATTTGCAATCCCTACAGCTGTTCTGCTCTTGATTGTTTTAGGTCAGCTCAGAGGACTGTAATCAGGAGCAAAGTTGGTGGGACAGGGATAAGATGGATCAACTCAAAGTGGCTAAACCTGTATATAAAAAAAAAATGGCACATTGGGAAAGAGCATTCTCTGTATTCCTGTTCTCAGTTTATTGATTTCACAACAACATACATAAATCCATTGAACACATTTTTGAGAACTGTTCTGTGCCAGGCACTGTACTTCAGACTGGAAGATCAGTAAGATTTGTTCCCTGCTTTGGAGGAAGGTCTTCTAATAGGCCTTATTTATGCTGGGTTTGTTGTTGTTTTTAACCCCATAGTATCTTTTTGATATTCTTGGTTCTCTGAACAAAGGAACAGAAGTGTTAACACTGGCCTGATACACTATTATAGTCCACTGGTGAACTGTAGTTTTAGGGTGCAGGTAATTAAAGGAGGAATGTGAGTGTGTAAATATTCATCAAAAGATTATGAAGAGTGTTCAAAATAGTCAAGTACTTTTCTAAGAATGGTCATTTGATCATCTTCATTTCTGTACTGTGAAAAAGGGAATCTGTTAAGTTTTTTTTTATAAGATTGCCAGCAATTAACACTGTCTGAAAATAATTTGGCTTTAGAAAATTTAGACTAAGTAACAAAGTATGTTTGTTAAGTGGGGTGGAGGAGGCTTTCCTTTAGTGAAATGATTGGGGGGGAATGAAACTTTAGCTGTTGGGCATGATGCACATTTCAATTGTTAAAGCTGCAGTTGGAGTATCCATTTGATACCAATTTGGGTAATATATAGTTTGTAGGTTTAACAATAAGAGATTTATTATTTAGTATAATAAATCTTGAGGTTGGGCAATTTCAAGCTGCATGGATTGATTGATTAGCTCAACTATATTCGTTTTTGCCTTCTTTCTGCTCTCCTTTCCTCAGCATAGCAAGTACTGTCTCTGCTCATGGTTGCAAGTTGCCTTATTCCAAGCACCATGTGTAGTCATGACTGTTTGTAGCTGAGAAGAGTTTCTTCACATGTGTTTATCAGGGAAGAAAAGCTTTTCTCAGCCTCCAGCAGACTTCCTGTCCATTTTTATTGACTAGGGTTGGGTCACATGCCCTTTTCTAAGCCAGTCATTGGCAAGGAAATTGGGCATTTCTGGTTTTGATTTGAACTAATCTGCATTCAGCCATTAAGAGCCAGGAGAGCCCCATCACTTGAACAAAAAAATTTCTGTTGGTGAGGAAGAATGGGGATAAGAAGGCAGTTAAGTTTAGTCAAAGGCTATAAAAGTTGATCTTATATCAAACTAGATAAAATATTGCTTTGGTCTATTATAATTTAGATTCTATTAGGTTGAAACATAATTTATAATGATGCTATAAAATATACCAGATTAGGAGCATTCTAGAAGCAGATTTGGCCTT